GAGAGGCGGTGGCAGAACAAGCATCTGCAGAGTAGAGCTAAACTGTATTAGTTTCCCCTTTTAGCGTTGCTTACTTCTGCCGCTCCCCTGCGTTAAACACCAGGGCTGTCGTTTTAGTTGCTCCACTTTTGTGTACTTTAGTGGTGCAAATGCAAACTGGGCAAGAAACATATATTGAAATTTTTTTCCCCCAACATAACTGGCTGTTGACAGTTAAATTACAATATTTACATTATCTTTTTTTTCTCCCCTGCGTTTTTCTTAAGTAAATACTGTGATTGTGGGATGCACAATAACAATTTGACTTATTTCTTTTTTGTGTTATAGTCTCATATAATGGCAGCAAAAGCTGTAGCAAGTACTCTGAGAACATCCCTTGGGCCCAATGGTAATGACAAATTAATTTTAATGGCTCTTTTTCGGTAATTGCCCTGGGGCATTTTCTGTGTTTTCCTTCATGCTTTGAATATATTTTTTTAGGCTTGGATAAAATGATGGTGGACAAAGATGGTGAGGTGACAGTGACAAATGATGGCGCTACCATTCTGAATATGATGGATGTGGATCACCAGATAGCCAAACTTATGGTGGAGCTGTCAAAATCTCAAGATGAAGAGATCGGAGATGGGACTACTGGTGTCGTTGGTAAGAAAGGATTTCAAATCTAACTTAGCTTTTCCAGCTTTAAAATCAAGCTTCTTCAATGGTTTTAAGAAATTTTGTGTGAAGGAACAGTAGCACGTTTTTGGAGTATTTACTGTTTCAGAATTCAGATATTTTGTCATTTGGGAAACTTTGAACTGTTAAAATACTACAGAAAAAAAAGCCCGAGGGCATGGTTGTAAGTGTTCCGCTGATGCACTGGAAGGGCCGGTTGGGTGTGTGGGAGGGCAGTGACGATGTGGGCACTCGTTCTGCAGTCCTGGCGGGGGCGCTGCTGGAGCAGGCGGAGCAGCTGCTGGACCGCGGCATTCACCCCATCCGCATCGCGGACGGCTACGAGCAGGCGGCCCGCATCGCCGCCCGGCACCTGGACAGCATCAGCGACAGCTTTCCCGTGGATCCCCACAACACCGAGCCGCTCGTCCAGACCGCAAAGACAACGCTGGGCTCCAAAGTGTAAGTCACGCAGGCTCCAGAAGAGCCTCCGGGCTTCCGTTGGAAACGCATCCAGTCGAAGGGAGAAATCCGGGAGATGCGGGGAATTACTGTTTGTTATTCGAGTAGCTGCTGAAGACTTTGTTTTGTTTGATTTTGCATAATTTCTCAATGGACTCATGGCTTAGGAGTTTTGTCCCTTTTGTCTCTAAAGGGTCAACTCCATGAGGTTAAACAGCTGCAAAATCAATTTTGTTGTGACCTGTTAATTCCATATTTCTACATCACAACAAATTGCAAGAGTAATTTTAAAAATAATTGGTTTATGTTTCCAAAGTTTTGTTTGTTTGTTTTTCCTAAAAAAAAACCCCAAATTGTAGGATGGTTCCATAAGCACTTTCTTTCATTATAATCTTTATATGTTGTATAGAAATTCAGACGCTGTCAGTGCTTCCTTTGCACAGCTCTCTTAGCAGTGGTTTCGGTGACTTGAGTGTGTCTTAGTAGTTAATTCTCTTCAGTTGTTTCAAATCTGTATCTTCAGATGTTGACCACAAAGATTACTTGAACAAGTTGTGTCACATGTTCTGTTTTCTGCCATATTTAGGACCTTCTATTTCTGTGAACAAACAAGCAGGGCCTCCTCTTAATGTGACGTACAAAAGCCGTTAGCTGTGGTGATGCTTTTTCTGTTTGAGATTAATAGAATCGTGTTTTTCTTCCAAATGCTGGGAATCGAATGCAACTTTATTGTTTTGTTTTTTCCTATATCTAGAGTTAACCGTTGCCACAGACAAATGGCAGAAATCGCTGTAAATGCTGTACTGACAGTAGCAGATATGGAGCGTAAAGATGTTGATTTTGAGCTGATCAAAGTACAGGGAAAAGTGGGAGGTAGACTGGAAGATACACAGTTGGTTAAAGGAGTGATTGTGGATAAAGATTTCAGTCATCCACAGATGCCTAAAGTAAGTGATGTCCCTGTATGTCTTATCTGTATTGGGTTCAATTTTGTTATTTTTGGTGCATGTAAGGTCTCCAAATCTTTATGTGGTATTCTTCAAGAAAAGTGGAGGCCATTTAAAAATCCTACTACTCTAGAATATTTTCTTAGTAGGTGACAGTTTATCCTAAAAAAGAAAAAAATGTTGAAAATATGAGTCGTGTAGTGCATGATTTTGTACTGGTGGCTGTGAAGACAAGTGTGTAGCATTCGCAGTGGTCATGGTGGATAGGGCAAGTAATGGTTTCATTGAACTCTTTTAAGACACTGAACTATAAAATGACAACACTGGCAAAAGTTAACGCTTAAACAATGTTCTGAAGCTGTGGAGTTTGTTCAACATGGGTTGTAGAGACTTGATGAAATTACTTGGGTATAATTAGTTTCTCTTTAGATAAGAAAAATGATCAAGTTACTTCCTATCTCTGTGTTTTTATAGATATTTCTGTATGTTTTGGAAATACAAGAAAGAGGTTACTGAGGTCAAAACTCAACTTTTTTTAAAGTTATTTTTTTAATTATACAGGAGCTCAAAGATGCTAAAATTGCAATCCTTACTTGTCCGTTTGAACCACCTAAGCCTAAAACCAAGCATAAGCTTGATGTGACTTCTGTTGAAGATTACAAGGCACTGCAGAAGTATGAAAAGGAGAAGTTTGAAGAGATGGTGAAACAGGTAGTCCTTTCTGTTTCTACATTGTTTCCATAGCCTTTACTTGAAGTAGCGTAGTGCATGGGTACCTGTCTGGAAATGAGCTAATAACCCTGGTAGGAGGCAGTGTACAAGCAGTTGTAAGGCTATGAGCAACTTGGGTTTATGAAAGAAAGAGATACCACCCTTGTTCAAGATTGACTTGCATCTCTGCGTTTGCCATGTGGTTCTTTCAGACTCGTGTTTTGTGAGAATTACGGGAACTAAAACCCTGAAGAGATTGTTTTTCATTCTTGTGTTAGTTCTGATCAGAAGATTGATGTTGTGTGTTTCTTTCAGATAAAAGACACTGGTGCAAACCTTGCTATTTGCCAGTGGGGTTTTGATGATGAGGCAAATCATTTGCTGCTCCAGAATGAGCTGCCTGCTGTTCGCTGGGTTGGTGGACCTGAGATAGAAGTGAGTAAAATATTCTAAGTTGGGCTGTGGACCAGTTCTCGAACATTTGAAAAGTGTAACCATTAAAATTTCAGGCTTTCTGGGTAGAACTGTGTAAGTGTGGGTATTGGAGGCAAGTGGGGGTGTCTCTGGGAAGAATGTACAACAGGTAGGATTATGGTGTATAACTGCAGTGTACGCTTATGAAACGTGTGACAGGTAAGGTGGGTGGGTGGGTGCGTGCCTACTTTTGCAGTAGGCATTTGACAAATTCTCTTCTGCTAGTTTTATGCTACGAAAACCAAAACGGAGATGGTTCTCAAAGTCACTGATGTTGTTTGACTTCAGCTGATTGCCATTGCGACCGGAGGACGCATCGTTCCTCGCTTCTGCGAGCTGACGGCGGAGAAGCTGGGCTTCGCGGGCGTCGTCCGGGAGATCTCCTTCGGGACCACCAAGGACAGGATGCTGGTCATTGAGCAGTGCCAGAATTCCAGAGCTGTCACCATTTTCATTAGAGGAGGAAACAAAATGGTGAGGAACTTAGTTTGTTATGGACCTTACAATGTAAGCTGCAGGATGCGTAGTTTCTTTGAAAAGTATATTAACTTCTGTTTTGTCTAAATTTTCCTTGCATTGTGGACAGATGGAAGCAGGGAAAGGTTGTCATGACTAGATGTTAGAAGCCACTTGTTAGATTCACATCCTGTATTTTTGAAAGAAAAACTTTTTCTTACTCTTAGACTATATTAGTTCATAAATACAGAAATAATTTTCCCTCTGTATGCTCTAATTTGTTTTTTCTCATGAGACCCTCATGAGAGGGTCACTTTTATGAGTAAAGACATACTGGCATTCTTGAGAGGTTTGCTTTCATTATAGACCTAGGTATGTCACTTCTGATTCAGTCCAGTTCAAAAAAAAAAAAAAAATAATTAAAACTGCAAACCAGCCCCCTACACACAGAACAAGACTATTTGAAATTCCCATGTACTTAACCTGGTTCTTGGTTGTACGTGAAAAACCTTAGGAAGAGAACAACGTAACGCCATGTCTGTCAAGTTCTTTAAGAAAGCAGAAATACTGCTTTCGAGGTCCCTACAGCTTGTTAAACTCTACATCTGTGGGATTTGGGAGTTGACACAAATGACAATCTGAAAGTAAGGTTGGCATTTACATTTAAATGTTTTGTGTCTTGGGAATATGCAAGATCAAAAACCTTATGTAAGTTTTCCTCATTTCAAATTTAGGTTTAACAAATAATGTAGTGTATTTTTTAAATTCCTTCTCTGCCAGTGGATGTCTAACATTTTGTATTTTGGAACAGTGTATTAGAGGTGCATTAGAGCCATAAAAAGTTCCTAGTTGATTTGCAGTTTGTGTTGCTGTGTTAGGAACTACATCTGCATAGCCTTCAGTTGTGTATGTTGCAAACAGATGCTGTTTTGTAACGCAGATTATTGAGGAAGCGAAGCGGTCCCTGCACGACGCGCTGTGCGTCATCCGGAACCTCGTTCGGGATAACCGCATCGTGTATGGCGGTGGGGCAGCGGAGATTTCTTGTGCCTTGGCAGTCAGTGAAGCAGCAGATAAGGTAAGAAGGGAACAGTTATGGCTTGCTTTAATTTAAGGAGAGAAAATAAGGGTTAAGGCTCTTAAGAACTGAAAAAAATGAAAGAGCTTCCATAAAGTGCATCTTATGGGACTTGCTGACATTCACTGATAACCAATGTCCGAAGCTTTTTTCCCCTCTCTGTAAATTTTTAGCAGTACCTTTTCCCTTTTATGATAACATCAGTTTAAAATGGTTTCATTTGCAATTAGTTATCATGCAGAGGTATTAATTCAGTTATTGAGATGCATATTCCTAAGAAAATCTACATCTTAACGTATATGTTTTATAGCTAGTGCTTCTGCTAACAATGGAGTTACTAGCTGTATGCATTTGACTTTCTTTTCCCCTAGTGCCCATCTTTGGAACAATATGCTATGAGGGCTTTTGCAGATGCCCTGGAGGTAATTCCCATGGCGCTGGCAGAGAACAGTGGGATGAACCCCATACAGACCATGACTGAAGTGCGGGCTAGGCAAGTGAAAGAAAACAACCCTGCACTCGGCATTGACTGCTTGCAGAAGGGAACAAATGGTAAGAACTGCACTGTGGAGAAGGAGGAGCGTAACGGGGTTTTCTTTCTCAGAAGATCAGAATGCTTACTGTTTTGCCTGTCAGCCCTTTTGAAGTTTGTTTGTTTGTTTGTTGGGTTTTTTTGGGGTGCTTGTTGGTTGGTTTTAACCTGTGCATCACTTAAGTTATGAATTATGCCCCTTGTCATAATAAATAGGAATGCAGATGGAGAGATACATGCGCATCTACAGGGTAGAAAATGCTCAAAAACCTCTATTTGGTGGCAAGATCAGTTGAAGATGTTGGCTGCCTTTGTGGTATAGCTCACACTGCAGCCTGACCAACAGTTGTTTTCAGAAACAGCTTGTGAAAAAGTAAACAAAAAGTTGGAAATGTCTTTAGGTAGGATTCACACGAGGATGTATGCATACATAGACCTGTAACAGGCATGAGAAGACTATGAAATCAGTGTATGAAAACTATTTTCATCTAGACAGACACTTTTCACACTCTTACGTTGTTAACTTTTTTCAAAAAACATATTGATAAATTTTGGAGAATAATATAGGACATTGTGTCGATACAAAACTCTTCTTTGGTTGGGTGTTTCTGCTTTACAACATTTGAACTTCCACTTCTTTAGTGGTTGCTCAGCCCTTAGGATGCTCCTAATATTTGTGTGTGGAAACTGTACTCTTGAAAAATAATGCAGAAAGGTGAAAAGCTGCAATTGGGCAAGACTTAGTTGGGAAAGTTTTGGATCTTCATGTTCCAAGATAAAACCCAAACATAAAAGTCTAGTTTCTACAAGTTGCTTGGCAGCTCTGGTGGACAAGAGTAATAATTTTAAAACATTCCTTAAAATTATTTGGAAATTACTATCTCGCATTAAATGTTGTACCTAGATTTGAGGAGGATATCTAATTCTGCTTCTTTTTGACAGATATGAAGCAGCAGAATGTTATAGAAACCTTGATTGGCAAGAAACAGCAGATTTCTCTGGCAACTCAGGTTGTTAGAATGATTCTGAAGATCGATGATATCCGTAGGCCTGGAGAATCTGAAGAGTGAAGGCTGGAAAGCAAGGACCATCGAGGGGGCCTGGGCAGTAGCGAAGATGGTAGTGTTCTGATGCTTCCTCTTCAGCTGTTTATTTCAGACACTGTTTCAGATACTGTAATGGCTAATTGTTGGAAATAAAACAGTTTAGCATTGGTGGTTTCAAGAATTGTTTCTGAAGTGGTATTGCATCTTTTCTTATTAGATGTGAATAGTCATAGAAAATGCTTCCTGAATGTACAGGAAGAAAAAAAAAAAAAACACATTTGTAGCACAGTAATAATATTCCATGGGTCCTTTTTCAGTGTTTCCACAGCTAACTCTTAGCTGCTTCTGAGCAAAGCTCACAGATTATCATTTTAAGAGATGTGTCACTTAGTGAAGCAAGCAGAAAATTATTTTAGCCTCCAGTAATTCTCACATGTTAAAATACATCAAGTATGAGGTTTCTTTCTGACTGTTTGAAGGACCTGTATTTCATGCTTCCAGTTGCTTCCATTTTTTTCTCTTGTAGTAAGTAGCCTTTAAGTGTGTTCCTGATTGATGTGCAAGGAGGAATTTTTTCATCAGTATGTACATTCAGTCAAGTGGGGTGTTTTTCCCAAAACTTTTGTTTATGCTACCACAACTGAGTGCATTTATAAAGTAAGTTCTAAGCATGATCTCTGAATGGTAGAGTAAAATTTACTGGAAGGTGCCTTGCTTCTGTCTTAACAAGAGCAGAATTTGCAGGGGTTTTGCAGGTTGCAAAAGATAGGGAAGTACTGAAAAGATAACTCAACATCACTTGTATCACTTTTCACATGCACAGTTTCAACATTTCAGAGCATAGTAGTACAGAGAAAACTTTCTTTGGCATTGACCACTGTTATCTAGCAGGTCTCATTCTAATCATTGCTGTGATTTTTGAGTCAAACATTCTTAGAAATTTTCAAATTCATCCTTAGAAAACAGGTACTGGGCCTTTCATTGTTATTCTTTTTTCCTTTTGCCAGATCAGCTTCATTTACATGCAGTTCAGGGGATGACCAGAGTTAGAGTTTTACTGCTACTGAATTTTGGCACTCTGCATCGATTTGTGGTTGTAATTGGGAATCTAAAATCCCATTAATACATTGGCTCATGCAGAGCCATCTTTTACCTTGTTCAGTACATGGAAAGAAAATGGGTGTAGCTGGAGGTTAAAAGAAAGTAATTTAATTGTACTAATGTATCTCTTCCACTTCCTGGTAGGTGTGATAGAAAGACCTGTTGTGGGCTGACCCCAGCAGGCAGCAAAGCAGCCCTCAGCCCCTCGCTTACTCTCCCGCAGGGCATGGAGGAGAGAATCACAGGGGTAGAAGTGAGGGAATTCATGGCTTGGGATAAAACCAGTTTAAAGCAGAAGCTGTTTGTGCAAGCAAAGCAGAACATGGGGTTCATTCAACACTTCAGCAGGTGGGTGTGCAGCCGTCTCCAGGAAAGCTGGGCTCCATCACCTGTAGCAGTTCCTTGGGAGGACAAGTGCTATTACTCCACATGTTTCCCCATGGGACAATTTATTTTAAAAATGTACGAAACTATGTGATCCTGTTGATCTGACAAGGGAAATAAAGGGTTTGTGATATGTAAATATTTTTCAATCTTCAATTGGATCTTAGTATCAAAAGTCTGAAGCTTGGTGATAAAGCTTTGATAAAACTGTAAGAAAGAAAAGTAATTCTTTTGGAAGGTTGTACTTCTGCTTTTCAACATAAAAGTATGGTGTTATCATTGTCAAGAGTCATTGCATATGGGCAATTAGAGGACAAACTACTTTTATCACAGCATGCAACACACAACTGAAAGTATTAAACCAAGTTAATGAAAGCAGTGCAGTTCAAATGGATACACTTTCACAGCAGTGTGGGTTTGTGCTGTGTTCTGCCCATGGACAAGTGAAACGGAGCAAACATCTGAATAATGACGAGCAATGATAATGAATTTACTCATGGTGTATTTGTAACCATCAGGAAGTGAAAGCCTCGCCTAGAGGTGTACAGGGGCTGAGGGCCACAGGCCCGGTGGACCCCTCAAGCACTACTCAGTTACTCTAGGGAGAGGATGAGGTTCACCGCTGGAGGGCAACACCTGCGTGTGGCTGCCGTGGCTGGCTGCAGAAGCCAGCAGAAGCAGCCCAGCCGATCGTTCCCAGCATCGCTGCCATGGCACACCTATATCAGCAGCAGGACCTGAATGTTTCCAATTCCCCTCAAGGACTAGGTTACTTGAGCTAGTTTCATGACTGGCCCCATGTGTCCTCTTAAATCCAAGTGTTCACATCTTCCCAGGACCCTTACCCTGGCCCTGCCTCTTCATCCCACTAGTCCTAGTTCTCCTCTTACCAGCTGGCTTTTCCCGGCATCATTCCTTAGCCTGGCTGCTGGGTTCCCAGGCCTGGGCTCATCCCTCTTCTGATCCCTCTTGCAGGTTAGCGAGGGGAGGCTGCCAGGAGCCCAGCACAGGCTCCTCTCCATCCCTCCTGGTCACACCCAGCCTGTAGCAGCTATGGGCTGAGGTGTACCCAGGGCTGGGCTTCCAACTTCAGGTGTGCTGCAGTGGTTTGGAGACATCAGGTCTGAGCAGATTTCATCAGGAACAGGGTTAAGCAGAGGTGTGAAACAACACTCTTATTTCTCTACAAACTGACACTTTTTAATACATATTTTCCCTTTGCTTAGGGAAAAAAAAAAAAAAACACATAACTGCTCTTTGACTGTTTCTGTGTTCTGCATGAGGGAAGATGCCTCATAACATGAGCTGGTCCCATCTGATTGATCCGATCTGACAAGCTTACAGGCAACAACAGGTAGGGTTTTAAGTGGAGCAAGATGAGCAGTCTTAACATATGAGTCTGCTGGCTCCTTCTGTAAGTTCCAGACACCTGGATATTAGGATACCTGGAGCCAGACCTACCCAACCTAAGCTGCCTAGCTCCAGAACCTGCCCGGGCTGTATGTCTTTATGCTAAGGCTGCACTGAGACGGGGGCACCGTGGGAGCTGCTCTCCCCTGTGGCAGAACAGCATGACCATCCCTTGCACTGGTAAAAATTACTGCTCTGTTGGCCAGGGAGATGGTTATTGCACCCCTTGGTCTCTTACAGTCCTCCAAGGAGGGATGATTCAGTTCTGAGGTGTAGGTCTGGAAGACTAGCCTCATTCTCCCTGTGTAGAAGTATGTCTCCATTTCACTTCTTGGAGGGTTTCCCAGGAACTCTACGCCAGAGAACATTTCTCACCCTGTTAAAGAGCCAATTAAATAGAATGACAGTGTTTGCTTTGTAAACAACTCATCTCTTTGATACAAGAGAGAGTTTGCTAAACTCAGATGACTGGAGGGGTAAAGCCTTAGTGCCTTCTCTGTAACACGTGGACCTTGTGATACATGCCTGCTGTACATGCACCAGAATCCACATCCTCGTGAGATTCCTCCCTGAGCTTTTAGTAATTGTGTTACGGGGAAGGTGCTGCTCCGCGTGCTGGACGGCAGCTGATCCTCATCACTGCTCCCGGTCACCATGGCTGGACCTGCTCTGCTTTTCCTGCATGGGTACAGTGATGTCAAGGTGCTCTGTATAAGAACAGTGGCTGGGATTTGTCTGGAAGGAGCATCTGAGAATGCCATTGAAGGTGTCCTTACTCTTCAAGATGGGCAGTGGGAAGACAGCTCTGCTGCAGTGTACAAGCAAGAAGGGCTGTGCTAGCAAAGGTGGAGTGAGCAAAGGAAAGCTGAGGAACCTCAAGGAAATCTGCACAATCCAATCACTTGCTTACAGTGGCACTTGGGACTTCAGTTAGAGGAAGAAGAGTAAAATATTAGAATTATGAAAAGAGATGTCAGTGTGAGTAATGCCAAGGATTACTGAAGGCATCAGCTGTGTGGGATAGGGCACTACCATGAGCTCTCTCCCTCTCAGAAAACTCAAGCAGCTAAATAACACAGGTTTATAAACACTTAGTGTGGCTTCTAACTCTTCTTCTGTTTGCAGAAGGGCCCATAATGGGATACAGTGTTTAGTGACAACAGGAAGAGGGCATGACTGCATCAGCTTTGTCTTCCAAATATCCAAATGCAGTGGCTAAAGCATGCATTGAGGAACTTCAAAATGTTGAGAGTGAACTCAGATGTTGGGCTTGGTTACTTTTCTGCTGACCACTTACCCAATAGAGAATGATATTAACACACAGAGCAGCAGCCAAACCCCTCCCTCCACTCCCACATCACACACCAGAGATCCAAAGCGCCAGACAACCAAAGGGAGGAACAAGTCAGTGCACTCACCCACCACAGGAGAATATGAGGAAGGGAGCAACCCAAGCCATGGGCAATAGTAGCAGCCAGGCCATGAGCCCAGTTGTAGAGTAGGGACTCAGAGACAGCTTCATGTTCTGGCCCTGCTGTCCTGGGAACTCCATTTGCCATGAAAAGTCAAGGAGCCCTTCCAATAGCCAGAACCACAACACATACACTACAAAAGCAAACATCCCAACCCCACTGCAAGCAGAGTCAGCTCTTATAGAGGTGGCTTCTTGCCTCACCTCCAAGTTAATGTGGAAGGTGGGAGCACCCGGTGGTGATCTCCTAGTCAGTTCCCACCCAAGTCTGGCCAGAGCCTGGGTGAAAAGCAATCAGGAGGGTCTTTCTTGACTGGTTGTTGGCATTATCCATATGCCAACCCTCATTCAGGGCTGGGGGTTTAAACCCCAGCACTTCAGTTACTCAAGTGTACCATGGTTATATCTCAGGGATTCCCATTCTACTTGATTGGAGCTTCACTTCTTCTCTGCCTCCATCAAAATCAAGGGAGATTTCTTTCTTCCTTCTCTGCACCAACTGGCTGTGCTGGCAAGCAATCCTTTCCCCAAACTCTCAGTGTAGCTTGGTTCTCAAATCCACAGAGGAAAAAAAAAAAAAAAAAACCCTCACCAAAACTATCAAGGACCACTAAATTTAAAGTTTCATCTATCTGCAGACTTTTCTTAAGTCAAAATCTGCTGAAAGGAGTAAAGTGTCTTTTGGGAATTATCACCATATACTTGCCCTGTTCTTTATTTTTTTTAAGAGACAGGATATCGGATTATGTTGGAACCTTTGGTCTGATGTGGTACAGGCATTCTTATTACCTTGGCACAACTATGTTGAGGCA